TTCATGTGAGAGCTAGAAGGGGACAGGCCACAGATGCACATAGTCTAGCTGAAAGAGTATGAAAAAATTTCAATTTTTATGTTGGTCGGATCTTCCAAAAAATGCTCTCTTTTGCGGGTCGAATCCTCAAAAATTATGTTTTTTGAGAATTTGATACGGTCGCGACAACATTTTTGGAAGAGTCGGGCAACATATATTCCAATTCCTCAAATTTCATGTTTTTTCATTTTTTTCCCAATTATATTCTGACATATCCTTCAATTTAACAGGTGAGAAGAGAGAAAATAAGTGAAAGAATGAAGCTTTTACAAGATCTTGTACCAGGCTGCAATAAGGTAGTACTTTTTTTCTTTTTTTGAAAATTTTCTTTTTTGGCTCTGCTAAAAATATTCAGTACTCTAATAGGCAAAATTGAAATTTTACTATAGGTGACTGGAAAAGCCGTGATGCTTGATGAGATTATTAACTATGTACAATCACTTCAACGGCAAGTTGAGGTAAAAAAAAATTTAGTACTAGTCTTATGAAATTCAAATGCCAATAGTAAAAGTTAAAGCAAGATTTACTGAATTCTTATACTTGTTTAATGTCATATTGTAGTTCCTTTCAATGAAGTTAGCTACTGTGAATCCAAGAATGGACTTTACTATGGAAGCTCTTCTTTCCAAGGATGTAAGTCAATTAAATTCTTAGTACTACTTCACCAATATAAAAGGGCAGTCAGGTGCACTAAGCTCCCGTTATGCGCGGGGCCGGATAAAGGCCGGAGTATAAGGGTATATTGTATGCAGCCTTACCCTATATTTCTGCAAAAGACTGTTTTTACGGCTCGAACCCGTGACCTCTTGGTTACATGGCAGTAACTTTATCGTTACGCCAAGGCTCCCTTTCACTTCACCAATAAAGCAAAAATAAAAAAGATTTTGAATTTATGTAATTTTGTGTTTATTTTTCAGATGTTTCAATCTAGAGGATCATTGTCACAAAACATGTATTCATCAGAAACTTCAGCACAAGCATTTCCTTATGGATTTCAATCTCAGCCAGGGCAAAGCTTTCATAAAGGAACAGAGTTTCCATTTCCAATAAACTCCTTGAATAATAATTTGGCTAGAAATTCAAATATGCAATTGCCTTCTCTAGATGGTTATGTTGAATCTACCCCTCAGGTAATGAATAATTTCATTTAATTCACCTATGTTAATCAGATCTTTCAAAAATGTTGTTGCATCTTTATCGGAATTTTTGGAGGATTCTATACAGTTGCAGCGGTATTTTTGGAGGATTCGAGCGATATAGAAATTTATTAAAGTTTGTAATATTCTAAGTGAAATTTTACTTTTTTTAGTAGTTTGCTTGACAAAGGTGGTTTAATTGTTTTTTCAGGTCCCCACATTCTTTGAGGATGATCTCAATAGTGTTGTTCAAATGGGCTTTGGCCAAAATCAGAACCAGAGTTATCCTGGTTAGTAAACTTGTCTCTTTATACTGATACAATCAGATTTTTGTATAACAACAGTCATATATAACAGTCATTCACTGTAAAAGTCAAGTTTTTCTCGGAATCGATTTTTATGTTATGTTATAATATATGTCTTTTATAACAACACTTCACTGTAGCAACCAAAAATTATCAGAACAAATGAGGTTGTTATAGAGTAGTTTGACTGTAACTATTTTAGTAGGTAACCGATACGCTACCTTATATTGGTATATTTGGACCTATTTTAATAGGTAATCTGCCTTATATTTCATGTCACTAATCTCACTGTTTATGATCAGTTACTTGTAGTTATCTTTTAGAGAAGAACGGTGTAACGTTTTTCCTTATGGAATGCAGGTAATGTTCCTACTTCACAAATGAAAGTTGAGCTATGACCAAAAGAGCCAAAAATTGTTGAATTCATTTGAGGCCCCAAATGAGAGAGGCTTCTGTATATAGAGAGACAATTGGCAATTCAGACTTATTCAGAGCAAATTTGGATTAAAGAAGAAGAAAGAAGTAAAAAAGAAGGGATTTTTTCTCTCTTCCAATTCTTGATCTATTTAGTGATTAATTGGCTGATTTTGATTATTATTATTATTACTACTATTTTTTCTTTTCCTATATGGAATTCTTACTACCAAAATTGGAGAGGCAATTAGCTTACACCTTTATGGTGTTGTGAGAACTCTACCAAGATTTGTACTTGTAAAATATAATTTTAGTTGCATTGGTAAGAAAGTATGTTAGAAGAGTTGATGAAGATGGATATGTATTTTTTTTTTTTTTTTTTTT